TTTGGAAGAAAGTATAGAATTGAATTTGGATCATAACTCCCACCCAGGGAACATGGGGAGTTTTGAAACCCCCCACCCTCCCCACCTCGCAGCTGTTCGTCCATGATTGGACATTTTGGCCAACGCACACCTTCGCAGCAGCACCAGCCACCAGCCACGAAAGCCAGCCAGTCTTGGGCATGCCCTACTGTGGTGTACATGATGAATAGCATATAGCTAATTGTATGCACATGTGTGTATATATGTAATGTATATGTGTGCCTGTTTTCTGCCCATCATTATGTTCCTATCCCTCGCAGGAGCTTCGCCAACCCCCACCACCCCCCCGTCCTGTTTCCCCCCTTCAGCCACCCACACCCACACACACCTGGCATGTCCCACCACCACCACAGAACACGGTCTACCTTGGGTGACAGCCACACCATGGAAGCTCCAAGCATGCCATCATAGAGACATACATCCAACCTATGTGTGCTCTAATTTTGCACGTAATACGATGGTTATACCCCACACAGGAGGCATCCCCACACATACATCCGGCAAGAGATACCGGCTGCCAACCCGAAAAAAAAGGGACGGAAAAGGTCGTATTTGGAGGGGGCAAGACTCACGCCAGCGCACCGCCATTGGGCAACGTGTATAGATCATCACAGTTTGTGGTCGCGCGGCAAGTAATGTCGGACGAGGAGTTTGATCCGGCACTGTCTGTGCCCGAAATCTCGGACGCAGACCTCAAGTATGTGGACAAGCAGCTGGGAGGGAAAAAGTCGTTTCTCACCACGTGGGTGGTCAAGGTCAACCGCAAGGGCAAGCCGGACCAGCGAGTCATGGTCATCTCGGAGCACTTTCTGTTCATCATCAAAAAGGCCGCCCTTGGACGCAAGGTCCGCATCAAGGTACACTGGTACGATCTGGATGAGATCCAGTATCAGCCGCCGCATCATGTCCTGCTTGTCTTTGGGGAAGAGTCGGTCGAGCTCAAGGCGAACAACGCCGATGACATCATTGATGCTGTCCGTGAGGCCTACGCCCCCATTACCCTCGGCTTTCCCGATGAGTTCCTTTACGACTACCGCGCGCCCGACTCGGCCTTTGCCGCCGAGGTCTCGGTCGGCTTCTCGCCGGCTGGCAACTTTGCCGTCACGTACGAGGCGTGGTGTGCCTACCTGAAGATGCCTGTCCTACAGCCGATCTTGGACTCGATTCGCGCCGCCGTGACGTACGGGACCAACGTCGTCGACCTGACCTCGATTCTCAACACCGGCAAGGACCCTCCGTCGAAGGAAATTCTCTCAGCCATTCTACCGCTCTTCCGCGCCCTGCGGTTCAACACGTGGTGCGAAAAGATTGCACTCGATGGGACGCAGTTTGTTGTGCCCAAGCGCCTTGGGCCGCTCATCCCCATGCTCGCCGATACGCTCGAGCACAACTCGACCATCGAGACCATCGACATCCGCGGCATCGAGTCCTCAGCCTGGGCCGAGGTAGCCGAGGAGCTTGGCGACTCGGACGACCACGCGGTCGGCGGCTTTGTGCTCCCGAGCAACCAGCTCGGCGACAAGATCATGACCGCCTTTGCCGCGGTCATTTCCAAGATGGAGACCCCGCTGACTGCCATTAACTTTGCCAACAACGCGTGTACGCCCAAGGGTATGTGCGCGCTGCTCGAGGCATGTGCCTCTGCCGTCGCCCACCTCAAGCCTGTCGCCGAGATCAACGTCTCGGACAACCGGCTCGAGGAGTCGGGCTCGCGGGCGCTGGCCGACATGCTCCGGGTCCTGGCAGCGACCGACGCCGAGTCGGCGTCGACGCCGATCGACCCGGCGTCGGGCCCGGACGCCTCCAACCTCTACGACCGGCTCACCTCACGGGTTCGCCTCGTCACCCTCTCGCTACAGAACACCAAGGCCGACGTCCGGGTCTTGGTCTCGGCCATGCGCGAGCTGCCGTCGCTCGAGTCGGTGAACCTCTCGGGCAACGAGATTGCCTTTGACGCTGTCCAGGAGCTCGTCCAGTTTTGCGCCTCGTCGCAGCGTCTCAAGGTGCTGGGCCTCTCCAGCTGCGGCCTCGACGGCGATACGGTCCAGTCTATCCTGCAGGCGCTCATCTCCAACGTTTCGCTCCCGCGGCTCCGCATCGACATCTCCAACAACAACCTCTCGTTCTACGGTGCGCAGAAGATCGCCGACACCATCCGCGCTGCCACCAACGTCCACACCCTCAACATTTCGTCGAACGCGCTGACCTCGGAAGGCATCGGCGTCATTGTCGACGCCGTCATCTCGGTCTCATCGCTGCAGGCTCTCTCGCTCTCAAACAACCTTCGGGCTGGGACCGACGCTGAGGAGGGCGCCGGGCACCTTGCCCGCCTCCTCACCGCGCCCACCAACATCCGGGTGCTGCAGATCTGTGGCTCGCGCGGCGGCGAGATGGGCGACGCCATCCAGACCGTCTTCAAGGCACTGGCCCGCAACCGCTCGCTCTGGCACCTCGACATCTCGGACAACGAGATGGGCGATGAGGGCATGGAAGCCCTGTGCAAGGCTCTCGCCAAGAACGCCTCGCTGCAGACGCTGGTGTGGGACGGCAACGACGTCGGTCTCGACGGCTGGGAGCTCTTCCTCTCCACCCTCAACGAGCACCCGGGCATGCTGATGGAGGTGGAGGAGCCCAAGGAGGACATCAAGAAGCTGTCCAAGAAGGGCGGTGCCCTCGTCGGCCGCGGCCGCATCCTTGTCCAGGATGTGCTCTCCATTACCCAGCGGACACGCTCCAAGTACTCAGACCGCTCGGACCGCATCCCGGGCGACTGGCCTGTTGATCCGGTCTCTCTCCGCTTCTACTTTGACTACCTCAAGACGCTCAAGTCGGGCGCCGATGCCGAGGATCCGATGGCTTCGGCCACCGGGCCGGGCGGTGCTGCCATGGCCGTCGGGCCTGGCGGCGCTGCCATGAGCGGCGCTGGCCCGAGTGGAGGCGGTATGGTCGGCGGCGGCATGGTCGGCGGCATGGTCGGTGGCGGCATGGTCGGCGGCATGGTCGGTGGCGGGCCGGGTGGCGGTACGCCTGGGCCTGGTGGCATTGTCGGCCCTGGTGGCCTCGTTGTCGGTGGGGCGCCAAACGGCGGTGGGCCGGGTGGCGGCATGGTCGGTGGCGGCATGGTCGGTGGCGGCATGGTCAGCGGTGGCATGGTCAGCGGTGGCATGGTCAGCGGTGGCATGGTCAGCGGTGGCATGGTCAGCGGTGGCATGGTCAGCGGTGGCATGGTCAGCGGTGGCATGGTCAGCGGTGGCATGGTCAGCGGTGGCATGGTGGCGGTGGCATGGTCGGTGGCGGCATGCCACAGCCGTCCGGCGGCGCGTACATGTCGTCTTACGGCGGCGGGCAGTCGTATCAGTCTGACGGAGCCATGATGTCGGGCATGCCGACGTACGGCGACGCCACGACCTATGGCGGCTCGACGTCGTTTATGCCGTCACAGCAGGGCATGGGCATGCCGCAGCAGGGTATGGGCATGCCGCAGCAGGGTATGGGCATGCCGCAGCAGGGCATGGGCATGCCGCAGCAGGGCATGGGCATGCCGCAGCAGGGCATGGGCATGCCGCAGCAGGGTATCCCCCAGCAGATGCAGTACTCGTCGGTCAACGCCGGCTCGCCCATGTACCCGCAGCACCAGTAGCAAGGGCGAGACTCGCCGTGAGGCTCAGCGCCGCTAGCAGGCCGCAGAACAGGCCGGTGACAGACGGCAGCCAGCGGTCGGGTAGCGGGAGCGTCGGCACACGCCGACCGCGCCATCCTGATGGTGAGCGGATGTAACGGGCGTCGACTCGCCCGCCCAGCGTTGCCGCAACCTCGCTCGCCACCCTGTAGCCCGCCTCGAGCGCACCCTCGACGTAACCCTGCCACTCGCAGGCGGTCTCTGTGCCGGCGAAATGAACACAGCCATGGCGCGTCGCTAACTCTCCGCTGGCCGTTGTGAGCACGCCTGGCGGTGCCGCTCCTGTCGGACCTCCCCACGACCAGCGCGCCTCCAGCCAGTCGTGCTCGGCGTAGGCAATGGGCGACGGCGTGCCGGCTTCTCTGCCAAAGATGAATGCGTACTGTGCGGCTACAGCCTGCGCACGCTGCTTCCGGCTCATCTGGCCCCACTCGATGGCTGCCGACGCCGAGATGAAGCCGACGAGTGCTGCGGCGTCGGTGCCCGGGAGCGAGTCGTCAAAGGCGACCGAGATGGGCCCGGCTGACACATCGCTATTCACCACCATGCCCGAGAATCCACGGAGTCGCCAGAACGGAGTCGGATACCACATAACGCACTTGATGATGGCGCCCATGGGCATGCTCTGGGTGATGAGAGTCTTGCGCGGCGGGAGCGGTGGGTCGTAGCTGAGCCGGCCGGCGAGCGATGGACCCATAGCGACGACGACAGCGCGGGCGTTGACGACTGTGCCTGACGCGCACACAACGCTGCCGCCATCATCATCCTGAGCGATAGAAAGAACCGGATCGCCAAGGTGGAAAGCGTGTGGGCCGATGGCTTCGGCTATGCTCGTGGCAACAGCAGTCATGCCGGCCGTGATCTTGGACTCCTGCGCGCCGCCGCGGGTCTCGGCGAGCATGATGGGGCCTTGGCCGTGGTGGCAGTACGCCAACCAAAACAACAGTGAAATCTGAGCCGGTTCAACAAAGAGCACGGCGCGAACAGCCGAGGCAAGGAGGGCCTTGGCCGATGCCGACCACATCGTCCGGTCCATCCAGGCCTGCACCGTGACAGCATCCCACTCGGCGGCGCGCGGCGCGCGATGCGGCATGTCCAGTGGTACTTTGACGCAGTTCTCAGTCAGCCAGCGGAGCGCGTGGTTGAGATCAAGAAGCGCAAGCCATGAAAGACCCGGGATGGTACCAGAGTAGGTGAGGATGCCACCGTCTGCCGCCGAGCGGACGAGCACGTTGAGGCCATCGACCGGCACGGCCCACGTCTCGAGACCAAACTCATCAACAAGCTCCCACAGCCGAGCATGAACATGGCGCGGGCCGATATAGGCAGCGCCCGAATCAAACTTGGCCCCGAGAAGCAGCGCCTCGGCCTCGATCACAGCCTCGGCGTCCGGATCGTCCGTCGCCGGGAGCACGATCACCTCTGACCACGCCACGGTCTGGCTATTGCTTGCGTCGATCGACACCGTAGCTGATGGGCTTCCAGCACGCCGATCTTTGACAAAATGCGATCCGTCGTGGTTGCCATTGCCAGCATCCGTCCTCGCGCCGTCATCTGCATGTACAGTGTTGCATGCACGAAAAAGGTTGGCCGTCCGAGCCCGGCCGCCAACCCTGGTGCGAGCATCGATAACGACAACGTCGAGACCGGCCGAGCGGAGCGCACGAGCAGCTGCAAGGCCGGAGAAGCCTGCACCGACCACCACCACATCAGTCGTCTTGGCCGTGGGCGGCATGGCGGTAAGGGCCGGGCGGTGATGAGTCAGGTGCGAAGGCGGCGAGTCGATGAGGAGGAGAGGCTGCGCGATGCTTTGGCGCTTGATCACCCCCTCCCCTCCCCTCCCTCCTCCATCCATGGCCATCGTTCCGTATGTAGAGTCTCGCAAGCCACATCATGTCCATGAAGTTTGCCCTCTCATCGTCATGATATCCTTGATCGGCTGCGATGTGGTCTCACCCACCTCCGATCGCCCACCTTCAAACAGGCCTATCACCCGCATCATGTCCATCACATCCACACCCACCACCACCACCACCACCACCACCACCACCACCACCACCACCGCCACCACCACCACCACCACGCACATACATCTCCCTCTCCATCACTACGTCTCTTCAATCGGCTGCGATGTGTCCCCCCCCCCCCCCCCCACTCGCCCCGATCAGGCCGCCGTATCCCATCCGTTGAGCATAGTTCCATTTGAGCGGGAATGGGCGGGATTGAGACAAGTGAGCAACAGCAGGGGGAGGGGAGGGGGGCATGGGCATGGGCACAGGGGAGGCAGAAGGGGACAGACCACACCACTTGACACTATAGTGTGCAACAGGAGGAGGAAGGAGTGGTGTGGGAAGGAAAGCGGATATGTCTGCTGTGCCGGCCGAGCTGTTCCAACCTGCCTTTAAGCAGGTACGTGGGTAGGCGGGGGGGGAGGGGGGGAGGGGGAGGGGGAGGGGGGGAAGGGGGAGGGGGGAGACATGGTCATGGTCAGAGTCATTATTGTCACCATTATCATCATCATCATCATCATCATATCATCATCATCATGGTCATCATCATCATCATCATCATCATCATCATCATGGTCATCATCATCATCATCATCATCATCATCATCATCATCATCATCATCGATCATCGATCGATCATCATCGATCATCATCA